AAGCTCTCAAATCCTACTTATCGGCCGATAAAGCCGATATTTAGAGCCTACTTATCGCCCGAGAAGCGCCTTTATTACCGATAACTCGCCGATAAACCTCAAAAAACGGATAACCGATTAAAAATCCTACTTATCCTAGCGGAAAGCTCCCAAACCCGATAACTCGGGAATAATATCGGATTATCGGTCGATATTTAAAACCATGAGCAGATCCTCGACTAGGGACCAAAAATTTCAAGCTTCCATCCGAACATCCAAGATGAAGTGCGGATATCATATCTTTTGAAAGGGCCTTTCTAACATCGAAACCATGATTTACCCTTTAAAGAAATATTATGGAAAAAAAATGTAGGTTTAATTCTACTTAGTTTGATAATTAATCATTGGTTAGAATATAATATAGAGAAGGATGTTGCATTTTGCTGACATTGTAATTTATTTAAGCTTGTCATGGGTGATAAATCTGGTGGAGATTCATTTGATTTTGAAGAATTTACCTATTGGAATAAAAAGGATCGGTTGGACATTCACATATTCTATAAGTGCTTATAATATAGTTTTGAAGAAAAGTGACGATTTGATGAGATAAAATCAACACATCCAAGTTATTTTTTATCGACAATCACAAGCTAAATCAGATTATCGAACTCATCTACAGGCATCACTTAATTGCATTAGATTGCTCCAACGTCAAGGGTTAGCATTTCGTAGGCATGATGAGTTTGAAAATTCAAGCAATAAAGGCAACTTCCATGAAATTTTGAGATTTCTCATTGATCACAATGAATCTATAAATAAGGTCCTGTTAGAAAATGCTAAAAATCTTCAATTAAGTTTCCTTGACATCTAAGAAGATATTGTTAATGCAGTTGCAACTGAAACAACCAATGAAATTATCAATGATATTGGAGATGATTTGTTTGGGATATTAGTTGATGAGTCTAGTGACATATCTAGTAACGAGCAAATGGGTGTTGTTATGTGCTATGTTGATCGAAGGGGTTTTGTTGCAGAGTGATTTGTTGGTATTGTTCCTACAATGGATACCTCTGCTTCGACACTTAAGGTAGCAATGGAATCCTTATCTTTACGGGGGCAGGGTTATGATGGAGTAAGCAATATGCAAGGGGAATTCAATGGTCTTAAAGCTTTAATCATGAGAGAATAAATCAGCTTATTATGTCTACTATTTTGCTCATCAACTTCAACAAATACTTGTTGCTATAGCGAAAAAATTGATGTTTCTTGGCTTTTTTATGTGGTTGTTAATTTGACAAATGTTGTTGGATCCTCTTGTAAGCGTCGAGATATTCTTCAAGAGAAACAAGCCACTAATGTTGCAAAGGCATGGAATCATGGCGAGGTCTAAAGTGGTGAAGGGTCGAATCAAGTGTTAAGTTTAAAGAGAGCAGGGGATAAAAGGCATGGAATCATGGCGAGGTCTAAAGTGGTAAAGGGTCGAATCAAGTGTTAAGTTTAAAGAGAGCAGGGGATACTCGATGGGATCATATTTTGGAACACTTTCGAACCTAGTGTTTCTATTCTAGTCTCTTCAGTGATTCAAGTACCTGATATAGTTAAAAATAAAGGTACTTCGGATAAAAAAGGTGAAGCACATGCCTTCTTGAAGTCATTGCTATCTTTTAACTTTATCCTGCTCTTACATTTGATGAAATACTTGTTGGGCATTACATCAGTAAATCTACAAAAGAAAGATCGGAATATTATGAATGCTTTTCTTGTTAGAATTACAAAGGAACAATTGCAAGTAATGAGGAACGATGGATGGCAATCTCTATTGAATGATGTTACTTCATTTTGTAGCAAACAGAGTATTCTTATCCCGCGTATGGGTGCTCAATATTCCAGGAAGATCTCAGCGCAAAGCTCCACAAATCACAAATTTGCATCACTATCAAGATGAATTGTTTATGTAGTTTTGGATATGCAATTGCAGGAACCAAAGTTGCATAGGTACGGACACGGATACGAGACACGGTAAATTTGTAAAAAACAGGTACGGGGTCACGGCTAATAGTATGATAGTAGGATAGTAGAGAGAGAGAGGAGGAGAGAGCAGAGAGGCGGTACCCTATAACGTATATTAATGGAAAAATAGATACGAGATACGCGCTATATATATATATATATAAAATATAATATAATATATAATATACTAAATATATAGTACTAGTACTATGATAGTAAGTAATGGAGAAAAGTGAATCTAAGGTGACTACCCTCAGCATCCCACCTAAGGAGTGGCCTAAGCAATGCACACTCAGTTTCCTTTTTTTTAGCGATCTCGCGCTCTGTGACATTGATCTACACGTTCTAACACCTAGAACAGCCCAATTTAGGGTGAACCCGTGTGTGTTTTTGAACATTCCGCTGAGCGCGTGCAATCAAAGTTCTATCAGTACGAAAACCGTTAAATTGCAAGCGAGTGGGAGGTTAAAGGTCCAAAACACCGACAAGGTTCAGCCCAAAATAGTGGTTTGGGTAAGACGTGTAGATCAAGATTCAACGGGAGCGGATGCAAAAAAAATACGAAATGATGTGGATTCTAAGCCGCGTCTTAAGGTGGGAGCCTAGGGGTGTCACCTAGAGTTGCACTTTTCCATACTATATTATATAGTATATGAGCCGTGTCCCCGTACGCCTAGTATTATATATATACTATAAGTATACAATATATATTATATAGAATATATATATAGGGTACGGGCTCCGGCTCCATATATAATAAAAGTAAATAATATAATATATATTAATATCATATATATATAACCACTATAATATATAACATATTATGACCGTGTCCCGCGGTAACCCCTATATATATAATATATATAACATATATATATATATATATAGTATATATATATATAATATAATATATATATAGTATATTATATAATATATAGTAGTAGGTAGAACTTGTGTCAACTTAAGTGGATAGCATGGAATAGTGTGTCCACCAAAATTTATACCACTCATTTAACATGATAAAAAGTCAACTTCATTCATCAAGGATCGCCTAGGAAACATCCAGGGTTAAAAAGTTTGGTGGATGCCACTTAATGGACACAGGAGTTTTGGCTCTATATACTAATATAATATATAATTTATATATATACTATATACTATTAATATATGACGTCAAAAAACGAGGAATATACCTCTCTAAATAAAGTTTTTTTTCATTTTGGAGTTATGGGTAAATTATTCTATTCAGGGTAGACTTGGCGATGTTAGTTTGAGGATTGGAGTGAAAAGTCTTCAAGGATTTTAGCGGAACAAAAGGATACGAGGGGTTATGTGCAAAAGCCCTCAAAATTTAGGGGGCTGTGGAATTAAGATATTAGGAGGGGGTAGCTACAAAAACCCAACAAGTTAAGAAGGAATTTTGAAAATTTTGATCATTTTCGAATTAATTGCTTGAGTTCAGCCACTTATTTTCAATCAAAGTTCAGTCAGTCAATTAAAAATTAATTTTAGGCTAAATATCATTAAAAAACCCTTAACTTCGGATGATTATTAGAAAACCTCTCTTACCTTTCAAAATGTCAGAAAAAACTACCAAAGTGGGGAGGCAAAGGCAAATAGGGTACAAATTCTCAACGCAACACAATATTATCCAACGGCCCCACCTGAAGCCCAACGCAACACAATCCCCATATCCAGTGGCCCCCACACACATATACATTGAATTATACTACAGTATTATCCAACAACCCAACCTGAAGCCCAACGCAACACACTCCCCATATAAAATCCAAATAATACTACAGCTCCTCTCCAAAACCCTAGAGCCTCATTCCCTCTACCCCCGCAGCCGCCGCCGCAGTGGCCGAAGAAAGCAAGCGAAGAGATGCCACCAAAGTTCGATCCCTCCCAGGTCATGGACGTGTACGTCAAGGTCACCGGCGATGAGGTGGAGGCTACGAGCTCCCTAGCCCCGAAGATCGGGCCCTTCTTCCTCAAAAACCGCAGGTATGAAAACCCAAAAGAGTTGCTCATGTGTCTCCTCCGTTTGGGTGCGGAAACGTACCCAAACCACACCTGACACGGGTACAGCGCCAAAATTGTCGTGTCGGGGTATCATAGGCAGGAGCTCAATAGTCATTTTAGTGAACCAAATACCAAATTACTTATTTGTGTTGCTGCCTTGAATCCATTTGATTCATTTTCAGCATTTGATAATGAGAGGTTGATTAACTTGACAAATTTTATATAAGTAATTCTTTTGGTAGTAATATTGTCTAACTTGGTTGTTAACATGACAATTATATTTACAATATGAGTTTAGAAGAAAGGTTCAGCAAATTGGACAGTATTGGTGGGCTTGCAAGAAAAATGGTGGAAACAAAAAAGCATTGTGTATATGCGATGATTTAGTTACTTCTAAAATTAGAGCATTGATTTTGCTAGTAACCACTGCAAGCATAGACGGAGTCTTTTCTCCAATAAATTTTATTAAAAATAAGAAGCATAATCAGATGTGTGATTAATAGAATAATAGATGAATGATAATCTAGTGACATTCATTGAGAAAGACGTATTTAATACTATTAGTAATAAGTCTATTAAATAATGTTTTCAAAACATGAAAACCCATCGAGGACACTTATGAAAATATTTAAAGTATTATTTTTTATTTAAATTTAATAAAGTTCATGTGTTTAGATTTTATTTTGTCATTCATGTTTTTATATTTTTTAAAGAATTGATAAGTTAAATAATGACACCACAGGGACAAATTCTAGGCTACGCCATTAAACGGAGTGACAATTATTCTAGGTTTCTTACTTTTTTTAATCACTTATCTCAAAAAATGATCCACAGTCCTCTAGTACATTAAAAAGAACTCTTCAATATTGTATCACCAGGAGATCAAACAAATGTCAGGATGGGATAAATCTCATATATTCGGAAAGTAGAATATGAATAAAAAGCTATAATTTAATCAAATTCCAGGTCATGTTAAAAGATATAACCTTTAGTTTTGGACTTGAATCTGATTGATCAAGGCTCATGTTTTTGGCACCAAGATTATTATGGTATAACTGCGGTGAATTAGTTGCTCCTGCACAGAGACCACATTTGTATTTCAGAGGACTGCATTTTTTCTCCATCGCAATAGCGTTCAGCCATATCTTCTTATATACCTTTTCTGCTTTATTCTGCAAAAAAAAAAGAATCCAAAAAATAAAGGCAAGTAACCTGAGTATGATATGAAATACATTAGTTCAGTAAATCATCAGAACTTCTCCTAGGAAGTTCAAGTTTTCAAGTACATGATTGCATGAGGAAAAAAAGAAACAAGCATGCTAAATTCTCTGTTAGAGATGTCTAGAATAGAAGCTTTAAATAAAATACAGAAAATAATCAGAACAATAGTCAAAATAAACTTCGGCACCACATAATGATATGTAAAAGAAGAATAAGACCTTATACTCCACACGAGATGATGAAATGAAACTCATATAACACCTTATAAGTAACTGAATTAAATAAATAAATAAATTCATATATGATGCATCACTCAGCTTCCAATAGCTTCTTGTAATCTTAATGTACTGGACTAGAGCATGAATGTTAAAACTTGAAACAAAATGTTCTTTTTTTTTAATTTAACTATGCAACTAAAGCAATAAATAAGATTTCATATGGATGTATAACACAACATACATGCAGAACCAAGTAAGCACGCAAAAGCCCAACACATACAATATCATGCATCCAAATTTCAAAAATTTCTCTAACTTAGATCATCTACTAATGTAAGAAAACTAGATATAAACACCTTGGCACCTGAAAGCACTGTGTTTTCGCAAACTGAAAGAGTTACAATAAGTCCATAATTTGCTCCTCATGTTTCCTTAACTACTCGTTTGTTGTATTCTATATTTTCCATCACTTACAACGTGCTACCATTTTGACGATCAAGATGACAATTGAACCATAAGCATGCAATGGCCAGGGGAAAATAGGATCTTCAACTTGAGACAAAGAGAACTTTATAAGAATTTGTATAAAGCGAAATCAACAGGAATGGCAAAGACAATAGTAAATGGGCTATTGACATAATAACAAGCTTAATCTTGAAGTTTGATTATAAATAAAATCATCCTCTGAAGTCATAATCTTTATTTTAGTGGGCATCAACAAACACCTAGTAAGAAGGAACCAAAAGGTCTATAACACATCACGCACCATAAGTTTCTGCACCTTTCCAACTCGATATATCATTTGATGAGATAAATAACCAGATGCATGATATTTCATGAAAAAACTCTTGACAGTATCACTGAGTGATCTCTCATCTGACCATGGAATAGATCTGACAAGAACCGTAAAATGGCAAGGACTGGGAGGAGATTGAGTAATATGAATGAGTCTCATTCTAGCAATTCTCCTGTACTCCTAGAGGCATATAAAGATATGTTAGAACTTAATTAACTTCAATACCCAAAAAGGAAAGTATATTAAGATATTTCGGTGCAGAAGGGCCAGTCTTACATAGTAAAGCAGAATGCAAGCTGAACAAGATATGATGTATAACGCAAGGCAGTGGACCCAAAGCCTGCAAAAAGGATTTGATGGAAATTAACGTTATAAAAATGAAGATATAGATGACATGAATAGTTCAAAAATTAATTATCAATCAACTAGCAAATTAAGTAGTTTTCTTTCAAAAGAATCCTCAACTATGTGAGTACTTCAAATACCGGCCAAAGAGCTACATAAACTGGATGCATGAGCAATCAACGGTGAAACTACATACAAGTTTGAGGGGTCCCCCCCCCCAAAAAAAAAAAAAAAAAAAAACCAAAAAAACCCCCCCCCCAAAAAAAAAAAAAAAAATAATCCCAAAAAAAAAGTATGGAATTTGCATATCCCTCCAAACTTTTGAAATGTGCACATTACATTGTACAGTAATTGTAATTTTGAGGATTTCTATATTTCTATGCCTAGTAATTGTTGGGGTTCTTAATAAATCCACAGATAAATATTTGAAGTAACAGCTTATTGGCAATATGCATATTTTGCCAATGACCCAAAAATTAAAACTTTTGACTCGATTTTCCTCTAATTTGTATCAGAAGTAAAACTTATGTCTAATCTACTTTTGATTCTCCTAATATTCCAATTGCGCATATATAGATCTACAATCACGTCCTAATAAGAGATTCAAAATAGAGCTAATTACATCATTTTGTATTTCCATATGAATGTTCAACACATGTTTGTTGTCCAGTCTAATAGAACTTGAACTTGGAGTTTACGAAGTGTACCTTATCCACTTCTCTTTTTCATTGTTTCAAATGTCCATTTAACTTTTTGTATTTAGATTCTATTATGATTATCTTTGAATGAAAAATCATACATATTTGGTTTGAAGTAAGTTTTCTTCTTTTTCTTTCTGATAATAAAGAAGATGGACTTAGGTATCTTAAGTCTCCCCACCACCCCCACTCCCCACCCCGGCCCCCCAACCCAAACATAAAATTCCTGTCTCCGCCACTGTGAACAAGTATACATTACTAGTTTAAACTAACCCCTCACACTGTGCATACAAACCTAAACAAGAACATCTTCTGCAAGCGTACAATTATCTAACAATCTCACTAACTAAAAATGGATTTGGCAAGGGCAAAGAATCCACCACAACTCACAGATGTGTGACTCAAGTAAATAAAAAGGAAACATCTCAGAACAGAAGCTAATAGATCATTCTATATGTCAAACCTAGGCGCACAACCCCAATAATAAGCATAAATATACTGCACAATTTAGGACAGGAAACATATGTCAAAAATGCAGAGTGCAGAAAAATGATAACAAAATTCATGCGGAAGTATATATGAACAAAGCTAAAATGAAATACTGGAGGAACTAGTCACTTTTCAGTCATCCAAAGAAGCAATATTTCATGGCAGCCAGAATGTGTACAGGGACAGGGCCTCAAGCTGCAGAACCACTAACCTAGAAATCCACTAAAATTGATGATCTAAATATGAACATAGCTAAAGATGAGATGATAAACAAATAAATATAGAGATCACAAAAACAAATGAGGAACCTTAGATGTTCAAATTTAATTGAACTTCACGGATACAGGAAACAATTTGAGTGAGTTAAGAAAATAAAACAATAATAAATAAAAAGAGGTAAATTTTGTGTCAGTAAGCCATGTTTGGTTTGCTTGTACTTGCAAAAGCAACACACTCATAGCTGAAGCATTGATCTAGTGTTTGATTGCTTTGTTGTCCAACGATTTTACAAAACGATAAAACAATATTGATTATATTCTATGCTTATTTAAATGCGAGCTCATATAAAAATATTTATAATGGTAAAATCTTGACATGGCCACAGGAGGCAAAGTTCTGCATGGCATTATTGCACAGTTCAAGCTACAGGTTTTTGACACACGTGGAGTTGCAACTGCACCGAAGAATCCAAATTAGAATACCTCGCCAGCTTCTTTACTTTGGTTCTAGCTGCATCTTAGTATCCGGTTACAATTAGCAACCATACTCCTTTGATTTGCATGCCTCTCAGGCAACCAAAACACGCCTTACGGGGTTGTGTTTGCATGCAAGTAAAAGATGAAAGTGAAAATGACTTGCTTTTAACATTTTAGGTGTTTGTTTGCTTGCAAGTTGTCACGAAAGTGGAATGCAAGAAAGTTGTCATGAAAGTGAAAGTTGTCACATAGGATTTAATGCAATTTTGACTTCCCATAAAAAAGTCATGAAGTCACATAAAAGTAACGAAAATGATAAGCAATCTTAATTAGATGATTTTATCTACATTTACAAATTAATCTTATTTTGTCACATCATCTTCACATTGCACTTTTAGCAATAATGTCGTTTTTTGAACAAACACTATATTTCACTTATGTGAATGTGTTCGCAAAAAAAAAGAAACTTACATATTTCACTGCACTTTCGAATTGTCACACCCTCTTAAGTTTTATAAAAGAAGTGACTATCTAGCTAGATTTCAGAATTGGTACTTTTAAGGGTCACAAGAATAAATATCTTTATCAGAAGTTAAAAGTTCGGAATGTTTCAGAAGTTACCATTGAGATCCTTCTGCCACATTTGCAATAGTAAAAACATCTAATGACTCTGACGGGATTTCCACATGATTCATATACTGTCCGTAATAATTCAGCGGGAGTATTCCAAGAACACAAACAACAGCTGCTATGGAGAAGATACGAATACTGTCACATTTAAATCAGGAGTTAGAGAACTAATGCAAATATTTATGTTGTCTTCATATTATTAAGTAATAACAACAGTAGCTAGAAGCCTAGAAAGAGAGAGGAGGAAAACCAACTACCTGTGTACTCGATCATTTCAGGAAATATAATATACTCCAAGTACCATCATTTTTATATGAAAATCATCAATTAATTAATTAATTAATTAGTCAAGAAAAATGATGTAGAAGTTGTGATGGTCAAGTTGATGGTCAAACACAAATGTTGACAACATAAAATTTGAGTTAAAACACAAATTAGTGAATACATGAGTTGATGCAATATAGTTGTGCACGAACAGGTGAGGTGATTGCACAACTTATCATTCTTCTGCATTTTACGCTTCCTTTTATATTATAGAATCATGAACATAGCCTAATATGGACAGTCTTTTGAATGATGAAGTTGAAAGATTTGCATGCTCTACAAAGCCAATAAATTTATTATATGATAATAAATAAGATTTCATATTATGTACAAGTTGTCCTTAGGTTATTGTAGAGAAAATAACAAGGAAACATAACTTTCGATTTCTTTATGATCTTAAATCTGTTCACAACCTATGAATATAATTAGGACGAAGTTCTCTTTTATAGTTGCCACATGTTTTTACTACTTTAAGTGATAGGATGATGTGTCTCCAACACTAGAGTAGACTCTTAGTCTATGTAGCACGGACACGGATCCGACACGGCCATCCGACACGCCGACACGAGGCAAATCCTAAAAAATACATAGGATACGTGTGTTCGACACGTGTGTCCGACACGGACACGACACGACACGGCTTCATGTTATGCGTGTCCGTGCTTCATAGCTCTTAGTACCATGTGGACACTTGTAATGACAAATGTTAAAGTGTACCAATTCTAGAATACTCTTAGACCTCACATTGTCATGAAGAAGAGCTATTCTAATCACAATATACAAAAAATTCTTTAACATGAGAATGTTATTCAGTCTTATGTATAAATTATACAGTTTTGATATTGTCAACCAGTTATCCTAATCGGAGGCTATACAGACATATTCTATTGGACCATATAATGAGTGCACAAAGGCTTGTGTAGTCATTCAATAAAGAATATATTACTTCTAAAATAGAAGAGAATATTCTTGATTTCATCTTTTATACAGTGGAATTAAAGTATATTAGAGATCTATGCTTTATATTCTATTAAAAGAATTCTCTAAATATTTTTATCCAATTATATTGAAGAGATACACATAAGTTTTGGGATTGATGGTGACTCTAGAGGTTTAGTCCAATAAACTTATACGGAATATTAGTTGACAAAAGGATTAATATTTACATCATTGTGATACAAGGATCTAACAATTAAATCTTTATCCCTTGTGTGAGTGTTGTAGTTTGTTGATGGACATGCTTACAACTTAGTAGGGACTAATTTACGGAGGAGCAGTGTTGTAAATAGCGACCAATAGCGGGGTTATAGCGGGGCGAATAGCGGTCGCGGTCATTCAGCGCTACGCGTAGATGTTTCGCGGGAAAAACCACTTAGCATTCGAATAGCGCGTAAAAGCGCTTAAAAGCGGATAAAATCGCTTAAAAGCGGATTAAAGCGGCTAAACCCGCTATTGGCCGCTAAACCCGCTATCAAACGCATATATTTTTTTCGCCCCGAACCTGACCCGAACCCAAACCCGACTTGTTAAATGCGGATAAAAGCGGACGGCATGATGATGAGTGATGATGAGTCATTGCTCAAATTCAGACTTTAGTCACTTCACTTTTGAGACTTCTAGCTTTTATTTAGCTTTGATTTAGACTTTTGAGTGTTAAGTTTGGAGTTTGGACATTTCATGTGTTTGGAGTTTGATCTTTATTGCTTGCCTAGTATCTATAGACTGTTATTATCTATCATGATTCATGATATTATCTTGCTTTGCTCATTTAGTCATTTATCTATACTTGAATATTTTATTTTTTAGGTTAACTTTCTAGTAGTTAATATGATGATGATGATACTAATCAATGATTTTTTTTATTGAGCATTTTTATATTAGAGACTTGAAAGTTGAAGAGGGACAACTAACAGTCTTTTGGATAAACAGGTACGTTTTTTCATTCTTTAATCTTTATAATTATAGTACGTTGTTAATATTATGTAATTATCACACATTTATTTCATGTTTAGGCATCAAGTATGCATTTATAAGATTTTTAGATTTTTATATGATTTTTCTTATTATTTAGAATATTTAAATATATTTATATTTGACCGCTATTTGATTGTGCGCTATTTGATTGTGCGCTATTTGATTGTGCGCTATTTGCCGCAATAGCCTAAGCGGTACCTCACCGTGACGCGACCCGCTATCAACAACCTTGCGGAGGAGAGAGGTCCCAAATAGATCCCACCCAACATACTTTAACAAACCTTAGTTATTGAAACGATTGGTTAGAATGAACAAAGTCATGACTTTACTTAATTGATATCATGTCATTAAGTCATGAATTACTTTTCATTGATTTAATTAAATGATACCATAAGTCATGAATTATTTTTCATGAATATACAAAGTCAAAGTTATGAATTATTTAGCTAAAGATACTAAATTCATTGGTCAAATGTAATAAAGTACATGAGGTCTTGACTTACCTATATAAGGTTTGAGTTTGAGAAACCTAATTCTAAGCATCAATTCGATCCAAAACAAAAGATCTACAAAGACTAATATATTTATTTGAAGAAAAGACACCACTTTTTGAATGACTAAGGATGAATTAGATTCATCAAGGAGGATTTCATGTGAAACTTTGAAGGGTTGTTGCACTTGTGAAATCTTCGTGAGGTAGCCCTATTTTATTTATAAATCATGTATATCATGTGTTTGATCTTGGCTCAAATATTTATTATTATGAGATTAATTTATCCCTAATATGATTAGAATCATCAATAGATTTTCAGAAGTCAAGTATATTTTTCAACAGAACAGGAGGAGATTGAGTGAGGATCAACATCCTCTACTTAGCAATTCCATATTTCCCTTTGCATCCCACAGTTAATGCCCGAGATTCTCATGACAGAAAGAAGTTACATTTCCTGTGGAGGAATTGATTTTCAGTTTGCCTCCCAAGCGAATAAGACGAGGAATCTTCAACTTGAGAAATTTTTCACAGGGTTGGTCCACTTGATCTCGGACCCTGTTTCACAAAACTTGATAGAATCTCCAGCAATCTGTTCTGGCAGTCCCTTTGAAGAGAGAATATCATTGGCCATCTCCTAGTAAGAACATTGTTCCTTTTTCCCTGAGTAGGCATCATTATTGACGGCACTCACAATAGAAAAAAGTGGAACGGATAGAGGGTTTTAACCTAATCCCATAGCTCAATTAAGCAGCAAGTAGCTCCATGGTTCACTTAAGAGGACAGGCACTTCATATGCCTCACCAATGTCTATGAAGAATTCTCCACACTAACACCTAAACGGCCGTATAGGCACCTCAGTCACTTATATAACAATGGAACAGTCTCAAGTCAGATGGAGTTCAAAAATTAATAAAGAAGATTAACAGAAGAGTGGTAGATGAAGAGATGAATTGATAAGAAGCAGTTGAAAAGAAAGAAAGAAAGAAAGAAAGGGCACAATTAAGCTTTGTACCATAAATATGCTTGACTATATGTTTATGTTGCTATATATGAGTGGAGTATCCGAACAGGTTAGATCAGGACCAACATTTGAATTGTTTAATCCATACATTACATGTCCCCACCCTATGACTAAACAGAACAGATGTCATTCCGGTCTTCTGCATTGATTAAAAATAAACTACCATCCGTGACCTTAAATGAACAAATTTAGCTCCAAGATAGGCCCACGTGATGATAGCCAGTCCAAATACAATATTGCATGCAGAATATACCAATGCATTTATGGGTATTCTACGAGTATCGGTTGGGTAGAGTCAGGTCTAGGTCTGGATGTGGATCTACACTTATCAACTTATAGCCCTAGCAGGTAGCAACCATTTAATTGCTAGCAGTTCAAAGGATAACAGGGTAGGATCTACAAATTCTACAAGCCTAGTTACTGAAACCTTTTAGGTCCCAACTATTTGACAAAGAAGAAAAGTCTTCTCTTACAAGTGCCAAACCTTAAACGATTAATGCTTACGATGAACAAGGGCTGTCAATCTGCTCTTTTTGACTGGAAAAGGTCTACTGGGAGTAATTTCAGAGATTAATTACATGATTGGAGATAATTCCAGCATCGGAATGTTGGGAATAATTGGAGGATCGATTTTAGATTAAAGATTTACATGTGATTGGTAGTATGGTTGCCTTACCATATGATAAGAACTTGTTGCAGGAGCTTGATTATAGGAATTTAATTAAAATCCTGATTTCCAATAAGACCAAAATCCCCATACCATTTCATTGCATTGCTTCAAGTCAACGCTGCACTGCATAAGCCTAATCTGAGGTTGGTTCACTATTGCTCCTTTCACATCGGGATGGAGAAGAGATTGTAAGTTAAACTTTGTTGCCTAGGGTTTGAGCAATCTACATGTTTTGCACATGCAGTCGTGCAAATGCTGCAAATGCACGATCTCTAATGAATAACATAGGACCACTGAGAGTGACATTGAAGAACTTGAAAGTAAATAATTTGTGACCATAACATTAGAAAGAATAAAATGACTTCAGCATGTAAAACAGCAGAGATAGATGAGGTTGAGAAGAAATCTAGAATGGACAAGAAAAAGAGATTGAGAAAGGCAGAATCACTGAAAATTTTTGTTCAATTAAACTCAGTTGTCTTAGAATAATTAATTAAAATTCCATCTGGTTGCTTTGCTTCCTCTTGGGGTCCTAGATGGTTCTAAATTGCTGTATTTGAGAACCGTAGTAATGCACGCAAAACTTGCTGTAATTGTGATGCTAAATTCCATTTAATTTGAGCTCCATATGTTTTCTTAGATTACATGTATATGAAGGTTATGGATAAGTACATTAAAGAGTGATATCATGTGATCTCTTCAAACCCATTAGGTTCACATGATTTATGAGCAATTTTCAACTGGTCGTAACTGAAAATCGTGTCATAATTGCAACCTCTCAATTCATCAAGCCAATGGTTGTACTTGCCTCAAACCACATATTTAATTATCTTGGATTTGAGATTACCAGCAACCAAACTAACTATGAAAATATAAGGTCTAAAGGTTGTCGGGAAAAAGAGAAATAATATGAAACTAGATTATATAATGTGATTATGACAACCAATCAAATGACTCTATGGGTAAATAATATTAAAGTATCGATCTATATGTATAAAGGTTGCATGAAGGTACAAGTACAACACAGAACAAAACCTACACCGAATTAGCAACAGGAGATTGCGGAACAAGACTTCCATTTCTTTCGACACAAAATAGAGCCTTTGTGTGAACCACAATTCTTCATATTTTGCTTAGTTGTGATGATTTGGACTGAAGGAATAAGTTCATAGTTATGGGTAAGGATGTGGTTATCAATTATAAAACAAGGATCATGGTTTGTTCCCCCACCATGAAAGTTATATAGGAAAAAATCATTTCCAAATATCTGCTAAGTTAACTGCGCACTGGAACAATACGAAGAATAACCTTAACAAATCACCTTAAGAATAACCCTAACAAATTATCAGATACAAGACTATCATATCACCTGAAAACAAGCATCCTAACAAAGGCCACTGCATCCAAACCAGCAGAAGCCAGTAGCTCCTCATCTGACGTTTTCCAAGCCTTCACTATCCAACCAGGCGACGGCACAAATCTCTCCAAACTGAATGAATCCAAAGACCGATTTTGCTCTTGCGCAAGTTTCCGCCCAAAGTAAACACTAACATTGCCCGGCTGCTTTCTCAACACAGAATACAACGACAACAGCAGCACACAAATGCCTATATTTATCCCCGCAGATGTCAGAAGAGCAGAGATTTTCATCTCTTGCCCCTAAAACAATTATCAATGCATATCCCAATCCCGTGATTCTTCAATAATCACCTGCAAAATACCAATCACGAAAAATGATTCTAAACCCCAACAAACATTACGTAATTCTGCCCAAAATTTTCACTTTTCCATAAAATTTTTATGATAGTTGAACAAAATTAGCCCTAAAAATTGCAAATTTCCACGTTATTTCCACTATAATCACTAGTAATCAACAAATCAAACTCAAAAACCCTAAAGATTACCTTCTAATAGAAACCCTAACTACGATCGTCGATCTCCAATCACGAAAAATTACGGAGTTGGAACTAATCAAGAGCTCTCCGAAACCAACTATAAAACATTGACAACTAGAGACGCGTCCAAAAAGCAAAGAAATCAAAGACAATAAATAAACAAACAAATAATTACCTCCAAAATTTTGTGGATAAAAGTCTCTGATGACTCTGTTTCAGTTATTGCGAGAATATAATTAAGAGACCGCGTAGAAGGGGGAGGAGGGAAAAAAAAGAGGAGAGCCTTTTAAGTTAAGAATTCTGGGGACACGTGGAGATATTTGAGTGGTGGCGCGGTTGCAAATATCGTCGGAACGAAGCACGTGGAGGGGGAGTGGGGTGCAGTGCCGACGTCGGAAGCGATGTCGGCCGCTGGATCTGCGGTTTGGTTTGATTTGGACCGTTGAAAGTGACAGGAGAGTCCCTCCGCTCGCAAGTCGTGTATCGGAGTGGGTTGAAAGTATCCTAAATTATCGGGAAAAGTATTTATAAATTATAAAATAAGGAATATAGATTCTCTTCGTTTACGTACCGTTAATTAAATAATTGTTTTTTATAAAATAATTGTTCGTTTATATTTAGGGTTTTTTTTTAGATATTAGTACCTTAAATCTTTGCTAATTGTATATTAGTCCGTCAGATTTTGAAAATTGCATGAGTCTATTAGGCCTCGTTTAATAGGCGGGAATGATGTAGAATTGAATGTCATTCTCACGTCTCATTCCACATACCAAACAAACCTATTTTTTAGATGTTGGAATGATCACTCCTAAGGAATGATCATTCCCACTTTTTGTGGGAATGAGCATTCCTAGTGAGAAGATAGGGAATGATCATTCTCATTCAAGGAAGAATCAAATTAGTTAGGTATTTTTTAATTATACCCCTATTAATAATAAAAATAAACCAAAAAATAATGGCTCTTTGACTACGTATTAGAAAATGAGATTCCATTCTCACTTGTGAACTGGTGATACCAAACATGGGAATGGGAATGGGATTTTCATTCTAGCTTCATTCTACAAAAGTACCCAAATATGAGAATGGAAATGATCATTCCATTTCCACATACAAATCTATTTCATTCCTTCTTCCATTCCATTCTCACTTCTGTCTATTCCCACGTACCAAACTAGGCGTTAAATCCTACATAGTCTTGCAAAATGGTACTTCAAGTTAAATCGCGTTAGATTTGAGGGACATATTCCATTAAATCTAACGGTTAGAGGCAAAGTATCCATCTTACTCCTCTAGATGTTCTCCAACCAATTTTCTTAATTAAGTTAAACCCAATACTCACTCAAAAACCTAAACCCAATTGATTCTTCTCCAATAATTAGAAAAGAACCATAACTCAAAGGTGAGCTTCATAAGTATTTGAAACATTGGAGAGAGGAATAGTTTAGTCACTGTAGGTGTTAGGAAGGTAGCAAAAGTTAGGTTTTATAACTGAAATACTAACAGGAAGACCATTTTGCAAAGACTTTATAAGATTTAAGGGACTAATATGCAATGTTTAAGATTTGAGGAATTAATATGTAATTATTAAGGATTTAAGGACTAAAAGATCCTTATATATATTTATTCAATGACAAGTGGACATTTGATACCTTGTTCATTTATCGGCCATTGTTAGTTACCCCATGATATTAAACTAGTATTCTACTCGTGCTAAGCACGGGTTAGCATTTGCGTTTTTTTACATGTTATCAATATCATTATCACACTTTCTGATCCTTTTGGTGTACACATTAACCTTACTAATGGTACACAATTTCCTGGTGACACGCCAGACACTTACCTGTTAAGCAAATTTCATCAAACAAACGTTAAGCATTTTGCACAATTTTCCTTGGTTAATTGTTCAAGCTTGTGCTCAGTATACTCATTTAATGAAATTACAATATATGTTCACTTATTAATTTACTTGTTTTGTATAACACCAAGTATTTGAAAACAATTACATGATAAGTAATCAAGTATTCTTAATCTCCTCATATGCTAACCAGCTTAGTATGTATAGACTTATATTTAAAATAAAATTGATTCAGAAAGTTTTCCATTATTTATATAACATGCATCAGTTCGATTCAATATGTTATCTCAAGTACACACACAAAATACTAACAAGTCTTACACGAAAACTTTATGTTCAAGAAAACTAAGATCTGAAATTTGTTGCGCGCAGCAGAAATTTAGGCAGCACTTCGGCAGCACAACAAGAGTTAGGTCGCAATAAGAATTCTTGTTTCTCAAAGGGAACAAGAACAACAAGAGTTAGGTCGCAATAAGAATTCTTGTTTCTCAAAGGGAACAAGAATCTGAAGCCTAATATCCCATCAAAGTGGGATATTTGCTCTTCCTCTCGTCAGCTCTAGGACTGCGCGTCGAGGGAACCTAAAAACTATTACAAATCACACAAATAGTAGTACAACCAATTTTTACGTGGTTCGACAAATTGCCTACGTCCACGGGGCAAGGAGGGGGGAGATCTACTAATAGAGGAAGAGAATACAACTAGGGTTTACAATCACTCACAATTTAAACCCTCACACAAAACTCTCAAATCCCTCACAAATATCTCTCACAAAAGGTTGCACAAAACCCTAGAAGGAGCACAAATCCCCTAGCCGCTGCCTGCAATTTTCTCTCACAGCCGCAAATCACAAATCAACCTCCTACCTTTGATCTGTAGCCGCACAAGTGCACAGCCGCAACCCCCTCTAAAAACCCTTGCTCAGCCTCCTTCGCACAGAACCCTAGGAAATAAATCACAATCATATATATATATATGAATTCGGGTGGGCCTTGGTAAGTCAGGTGTGAGCTTCCGTGTTTCTTCCGTGTTCACACTAATTTGAGGACATTTGCACCCGCGTTCACACACATGTGGTCCCCCCAAGAAGCCACGTTCACAATTCTCCACCTCGGTGAAGTTTTCCCAAAACTGAGCCGACACCAAAGCAACCAAATGTCCCACTTGTTGTGTCCAGTACGGACTCAATCCACAACAAGTCGAGAACCCAAACGAGAGTCCAAACAATCTCACCCCCATCAAAATCAACTAATCCAAACCGGCTGCATCTGAAAGACTGCCTACGTATCCTCTTGCCCAAGGAATCAAGCCGAACGTAGTTCATCCAAATGGCCGCCAACGGCCTCAACAATCACGAATATACAACAAGTTTCGACAATGATCAAACTTGTTGCTCGGAACCACCTTAGTGAGCATATCTGCCGGATTATCCTTCGTGTGGACTTTCACAATTTCCACATCGCCATCTTCAAGAACATCCCGAACGAAGTGATAACGAACGTCAATGTGCTTCGTTCTGGCATAAAAAACATGATTCTTCGCCAAATAGATAGCACTCATGCTATCATAATGAATAGTGACGGACCTCTGCGATATATCAAGTTCCTCCAAAAGTCCTCGAAGCCAAATAGCCTCCTTCACAGCCTCCGTAACTGCCATATACTCTGCCTCCGTCGTAGACAAAGCCACCGTCGACTGTAAGGTGCATCTCCAACACACCGGCGCACGGGTCAAAGTAAACACATACCCCGTAGTAGACCGGCGCTTATCCAAATCCCCGGCATAATACGAATCAACATAGCCAATGCATAGCTGCCCTCCTGTAGTGTCCCGCTCATAAACCAAACCAACATTGAGCGTACCTAGAATGTACCTCAAAATCCATCTCACGGCATCCCAATGACCCACTCCTGGATCGTGCATGTATCTCGATACCATGCTTACCGCCTGTGACAAATCCGGCCTCGTACATATCATCGCGTACATAAAGCTCCCAACCACACTCACATATGGAGTCTTCGACATCAACTCTCTATCTTCAACTGACTTCGGTGAAAGACCAGCTGAAAGCTTCAAATGGGCTCTCAATGGTACACTAACTGGCTTTGTATCCATGCTAACATGGAATCGCTGTAGAACTTTCTTCAAATAAGCCACCTGTGTCAAACAAATTCTGCCCTTCTTCTTGTCTCTGCTGATCTCCATCCCTAGAATGCGCTTCGCCTCACCCAAGTCTTTCATCTCAAACTTATTTGAAAGCTGAACTTTCAATTCATCTATAGCCGACCTGGAAACAGAGGCAACCAACATGTCATCGACATAGAGCAACAAATAAATGTGCGCACCTCCCTTCAACTTACGAAAATATACGCAAGGATCAAACTGGCTCCGAGTGTACGAATGACCAAGCATAAAACCATCAAATCGCCTATACCACTGTCGAGGAGACTGCTTCAAACCGTATAGCGATTTCTTCAACCTACAAACCAACTTATCTTTCCCTGCAGCTCGGAATCCCAATGGCTGAGTCATATATATTTCTTCATCAAGATCACCATGAAGAAATGCTGTCTTCACATCCAACTGATCTAACTCCAATCCATACTGTGCCACCAAAGCTAGCAAAATCCGAATCGACGAATGCTTCACCACCGGAGAGAAAACCTCATTATAATCTATTCCTTCCTCCTGTGCATAGCCCTTCGCAACCAACCTAGCCTTGAACCTCACTGGAGTGCCCTCAATGCCCTCCTTCTTCGTGTACACCCACTTGCACCCAATCGCCTTCCGCCCCTTTGGAAGCTCTACAAGCTCCCATGTATCGTTCTTGTGAAGAGACTCCATCTCCTCCTGCATAGCCACCTGCCACGAATCAGCCTCCGAACTCTGCTCGGCCTCTCTGAATGTAGTAGGCACCATCTCATCGATACTCTCCACCGGAAGTGCATATGCAACTGTGTCGGCATACCGTGCTGGCACCCGTATGTCTCTCCTCTGTCTCCGTGCCGCAATAGAATCCTGAACCTGAGCCGTCGGTCCCTGATCCTGCTCATGAGTACCCGTATCCTCCGCATCACCGTTCCATTGGAAGTGCATACGCAACTGTGTCGGCATACCGTGCTGGCATCTGTATGTTTCTCCTCTGTCTCCGAGCCGCAATCGAATCCTGAACCTGAGCCGTCGGTTCTTGATCCTGCACATTAGTACCCGTATCCTCTGTATCACCGTCGTGCTCGCCTGGCGTCACCTCAGTCGGCACCTGCATGGATACTGTACCATTTGGACAATGTGGAGCTGCATCAATCTCCACCACCTGCGATATCTCCTCCGTCGGGTCGCTCTCCACCTGAGAGTGCTCGCACGGCAACTCGTATCAATCTTTTTATCAACTGGATCCCAAAGCTTGTATCCCTTGACACCACGCTTGAATCCTACAAATATGGCCTTCCTAGCTCGAGGTTCCAATTTATCAGTTCTAACATGATAATATGCAGGGCACCCGAATACCTTGAGCTGGTCATAGTCATGTGCTGACT